ATGTGTTAGTTTAAGTAATCTTTCCAATCCGTCTAYAGAAGAGAGTTTTCAGAGAAAATATGGAAGTATGTATTGCAGCTTATATCACAGATCAGCTATTTAGTTAAATTTCCAGGAAAGTAACACACAAGATCAAAGTGACAGTGGGTCCTGGAGCATACACAATTTGGAAATGATATTACAGGCTTGAGCAAAAGGAATTACATGWGCAACTGAGCCAAGCAGGCAATTTCCAGTGCCAACAATATGGGAGATAAAAAAATAGAGATGGTTTTGGAGTCATTATTTGATGAGTGTACTAAGGCAGGACATGTGTCTTTGTGTTTGTCCTATAACTCATTTGACTGATATGCAGGTAGGTAAYAAATAACAAAACCAAAAATAACAAAAAAGCTGCAGAAAAGGAGAGGCTGCAATGCAGAGTGAACCGGATACATTTTATTGTATCAAATACCWTATCTAKCCCTGATTAAAMAGACTCACAGAATGGTTTGGGTTGCAAGGGGTTTTAAAAGATGCTGTTGTCCAACCCCTCTTCCATGGACACTGACATTTTTCACTGGAGCAGGTTGCTCAAAGCYTCATCCWACTTGGCTTGGAACATTTKCAATGAYGGGAAATCCTCARTCWTTCTGGGCATCCTGTWCTGTCTCACCACCTTCACTGCAAGCACTTATTTCCTTATATCCAACCTAAACCTACCCTCTTTTAGATTAAAGCTGCTTTACCCTCTCCTTTAACTACAGAACCTGGTAAAAAAAAATTAAAAAATCTTGCTTCATCTTTCTAGTACGCCCTCTTTAGGCACTGGAAGTTCTCTTCTCCAGGCTGGACAACCCCARCTCTTGCAGTCTGTCTTCACAGGAGAGGTGCTCCAGCCCTCTCTGATCATTTTCACAACCCTCCTTGGGCCCTGTTTTAACAGGTCCATGTATTTAGAAACAATTCCCCCAAATTATTTTTGTCTGCTGGAAGTGTTGCCATTARAATCTCCTGAACATGCTGGAAAATTAGCATATGTTTGAAGTCATACCATGCATTCTTATAAATCATTTAAAGTTTTGCTGGCTTCTTGGCCTTTTGTTCAGTCCTACCATACTTTGTACTTTCTTTTGGTTCTTTTTTTTCTGATTCTCCAAAACTGAATTTTTAAATTTGGAAGAAAAATACAGTAAGAGAACAAACTAGATAAAAAAAAAAGGAGAAGTTGAAATATGAAAATAGGTGAAGGATCAGTTCAGAAAAAAAGAAGGGAGGACAGTGAGCAGGTTGGCATCATTTGTATGMTTTGTAAACTGACTATTCATCCCTTTTTCCCTTAATTTTCTAWTTTTTYCCMMAAAAAMATYAGCRAAATAGAAATTTCWTTTGCAAAAGAGCATCATGTTATTTCATGACTGGGCAAAAAGAAGACAGATGAAACGGAATATAAATTTATTCAGAATAATTCAAAAAAATACACTAACTATAGATAGAGTGAGGGGTTCTGAACTAGGTWTTACCACTCAATAAAGAGTTCACAGAATTGTATTAGGAAATTTTATGACAATGCCATCTCAGTGTTTCATTWAAAACAGAATAAACTGCAACACCAGAAAGGAAAAGAGAACTGGGAAATTTCATTATGCCAGGGAGTAAATCTGTAGTGTTCTCAGAGCGTGTGCAGRTCTGGTCTCACTCTTTTTAAAAGGATATGGAACAAAGAGGTACAAACAGTGACAGAGATGATCAAAGGTATTTAAGGACTTCTGAACAATCTTCAGCCTGAAAAATACMTTAAGGGCAGATACAGAAAAATTTTTAAGCAGAATAAAGAATGATAAATTGTTCACTTGTCTCTTCCAGTATTAGGAAATACTGAATGAAACTAGTAGGTGACAGGTGCAAAATAAGCACAGTTCATCACACCATCCCCATCATATTCTGTAGCTCTGATGCAAAACTGTGTCTGTGCTCAAACTTTGCACAGATCTAAAAGGCAATTAAAAAACTCAGAGAAGAAAAATCCATGTATTAAATAAAAAGTAATGCTGCGTCTGTCAAGCCCCTGGACTGCCTGCCCGAAAAAGCTGAGAGAATAAACACATCCAGGGATCACCAACATTTTATCTCTTCCATGGAGTTAGAAAACAACCAAGCCCTAGTAAAACTTCAACTCTCTGCCTGAGAAGGGGCTAAGAGAAAAAGACACTTGAAAAAAAAGAATTACCAGAAAGAACAAACTGATACTAAGCAGAGGGCTTGATGGGTCAGAAGTATAAAACTTGGTGACTAAAGGGCAGACAAAACAGAGCACCTGGGCTGCTGGCCCCAGCCAGGGAGGCACTGGGACCATGAGCAGCATCATCGGAGCTGGTACCGGCCTTCCTGGGTACCCACGGACAGTGAGGAAAASAGAACAGATTTTAGGGAATGACTCATCAAGCCACTGTGCCTCTATTAGCACAACACTTGAGCATGTGCTTGATATAACCATAAGGCCCATGGATGTTAATGATGGTAATGCAAAATAAATTTTCCATCAGACAGGCACAGAAGTTTTATGTAAAAGCATAAAGATTAAATCTGAACTTGCTGAAGGGCAAGYTCATCTGAAAAGATGAAACAGAGACAGACTAGAGTGGCACAGACCCAAGAGGGTATGACAGAACAGAAAATAAAAAGGTGGGAATCACTGCTGCACATAAAGACAYGGAGCAAAAGCAGGAGTAGGATTTGTATCTGGTGCTTGAGGGGAAGCTGAGATCAAGGGAAGGTGTACCAAGCCTAGTGTTTATTCCAAGGCATAAACAAAGTTGTAATCTAATGACAGCAGGAGACATGGATTAGAGAAAGAACAAGATAAGTGGGAAAGTGAGCCCTGTGCATGAAGGAATAAACAGGGAAATCTGGCAGCAGCAAGGAAGGATGTCAGTGGAGGAAAAGTCGGTGCCAGAGTCTGTCAGTTTCTCAAGAAACAAGTAAAATATTAAGGAAGGAGGAGAAGGTCGGGCTGGCTGGAGAGCTACAAGATAATGGAAGGTACTGGAAGTAGCTACCTAGAAAAATCAAAACTGTTGGAGAATAAAGCCTTCACAACAAAACGGACAACCAACAACACCTTCTGAAATTSCTGCTCAATGAGAACACTTCTAATCATTCTGCCATTTACTACAGATTTTGCAAAGACTWGACATTCAAGAGTTCATTARCTAYTMATTTAAAACAAACAAAAACTTTATTAAAAAAATTAATCTTCCCTTTGTTTTATATTGCCAAGAAACTAAACAAAAACCTTTYAACTGCTAACTTTCTATATCTCAAAGATGCTCTTGCAAAAATACAACTCAAATCACCAAGATCACCTTTTTCCAAATGCATGCTACCATGAAATTGGAAGMATGCCTGAAAAGTCAGAAAATCAAATTTTTTTTTTTAAAAAATGATGAAGAGAAATGCCTTGGGAAATGTCCCTACCGTTCTGAGAGGATTTCAGCTTATAGACATCTTCAGAACACTGTACAGCTGTAACCAGCAGGGAGGCAGATGGAGAACTGGAGACAAAAACAGTGCAGCAAGCAATGTGCACAGCCCCATCCTTGCTCACCAGCAATATCCCAAAGCACTTCTCTTCCCACACCAGCAGATAAACAAAATGAGGATTATTTAGAAGGGGTAACCATATGGTTTAGAGAATTTGTAAATGCTATTTTCAGTACATTACTATAATACATGGTAGACACCTACAAAATAGGGTCAAAATTTGCTGTTTTATAACCAACCTGTTCCATTTGGGTGCAGAAACAGAGTTGATGGTTCTATTCAATATATTACTTC